TGTGCGGTGAGTTGTGTGGAAGTTACATCGGCAATAGGGCCTGCTGTCAGAGTGAGAGCAGCCCTTTTTCTTAGCAGAGGCTAACACACACACAAGCACACACACACACACACACACACACACACACACACACACACACACACACAGACACACACAACCTTTAAAAGGTTTTGTGTTTTCAGAAATAAAAGACCAGACACCAATGAAGACAAGCAGCCCAGGTGATCCATCATCAGAATATCTCTGTTACAGTTTCCTCAAAATTCCACATCCGGAACAACTTTAAAGCAAGTAGCCAAGAGTGTCCAGCCTCATGCACTAATCCAGCCAGGACTTCAGATAAGCCCTGTACTTTCCCATTGCACAGAGACTGGACAACAAATGATACAGCTAGCTCTCCCAGGACTTGAGCATTATCTCAGTTTTCTCAGGGTTCCCTAGAGATGCTGTTGTTCCCAGACAACAGGAAGGAGTCTAGAGAACATGATACCCACATTCCTAAGAGTTGGAGTTGGTGGTTTTTCAGCATTCAGAGGATTATCGGTGTTTATCATTGTTTGGGAGTTGGTTGCAAGTTGTTGGTCATGGGAGAAAGCAGAGCAAAGGAGATTACATATCTCATTCTGAAAGGAAAAAGGGGGGTATAGTATAGAAATGATAGGAGAAAGGGTAGATTATTGAATCTATGTGGCTGCCTGCACAACTAAGTCCGAGTATCGGGCAAAAGCTTGGAGATTTGGATGAACTACAAGACGCCTGGTTGGTTTTCAAAAAGAGAATGTCTCTCACCTTATTGTGGAGCAGCCTTATGTACAAACTTACAAAAACCCCAGGTGAAAGGGTGCACAACAGGATATTGATGCTAGTGGGGTGAGGTCAGGAAAACAGGAGGTACCTGTGGTTATGTTGGAAAACAACTCTTAGAGACCCCGTGGGGGCTGGGTCCCAACTTTTTTTTTAAGATTTTATTTATTTATTTATTTATTTATTTATTTATTTATTTATTTATTTATTTATTTATTTATTTATTTATTTATTTATTTATTTATTTATTTATTTATTTATTTATTTATTTATTTATTTATTTATTTATTTATTTATTTATTTATTTATTTATTTATTTATTTATTTATTATGTATACAACATTCTGCTTCCATGTATATCTGCACGCCAGAAGAGGGCACCAGATCTCATAACGGAGGTTGTGAGCCACCATGTGGTTACTGGGAATTGAACTCAGGACCTCTGGAATAACAGTGCTCTTAACCTCTGAGCCGTCTTTCCAGCCCAACAATCTACTTTTAAACTAACGAGCAGTTACTAGTTTTAAATATTTTATGTTGGTTTGGATTTTTGTATATTGATTTACATTTAAGGTTATTTTTATTTTATTTTATATATATTTCTACTCTTATTTAAGATGTTTTTGTGTATTGATGCAAATTTAATATTTTTGTTATACCATATATATGTTTCTACTCTTGTTTAAGGTATTGTACCTATGCAGCTCATTTAAAAATGTAATGTATCATTAAGAAATACAGGTTAGTAGTTAGTTATGCATAATAATCAAACTTATAGTCATGTTAGGTATGTTTTCAAGGCTAAAAAGAGATATATTTTAGATAGGTGGTCTTCAAACACTTCAGAGACCTACACAATATGGCATTTAAGATATTTGATAACATAAGGCTTTTCATGACAGTGAGATACATCTCCTCCTTTTGAAGTAAATTGTCAGCAACAATTTACTTCAAAAAGAATGATGGGCATCAAAGAACCTCCTTGTGAAGTTTGCATTTATTGTGGCAAGGTGAGCCACTGGACAAGAAACTGCTCTTGACCTAACTTCTGACAGTATGCTGTTTGAACTGCAGAAGCAGGACACAAAAGGTTTTGGCTGAACTTTGCCAAGACAAGGTAGGAGAGTCATTCAAAATTCCTTCTTCACCCAATAGTCTGTCAGATATTCAAGTCTGTCAGATATTGTAGGCAGATGGATACCTTCAACACTGCAGGGAAACCTTGGGTGACTACCCAGGTAGCCAGATGTTTCTGTCATTTCATAGTTTTGGAAGTTACTTACTCTCTACTTCCTATTTACTCCGGTAATATTTTATCCTTTTTGGGTTTTTGAGAAGGTTAAAGACTAGATAGTTACAGTTACAGTTTTCCTTATTGCCAAATCCAGAGAAGAAACTTACATAAAAGAGGAAAAGTTTATAAAGTTAGGAAACATAAAAGCTAAGTTGTTTATTTAAGATGATATTTATAGACATAAAAAGATATTTTGAGGATGGTGTTACAAGTAATGATAGAAAATGCTTACAGGGCTCATTCTCCCTGTAACCTCCAAAGGCATAACAACAATGTCTTATTTCCTCCATCTAGGAGCCCACCTTTCAAAGTTTCTATAAACTAGCCAAACAACTCCAGTGTCAAGGGAAGAGAGATTCAAAATATCCGACATATAATGAAGTAATTTTTCCGAATTTGCCAAACACAAATGGGCTGGATATTAAAAATGTAATTCTTTTAAAAAATATTTATTTATATATAGTGTTCTGCCTGCATGTATGCCTACAGACCAGAAAAGGGCACCAGATCCCATTAGAGATGGTTGTGAGCCAACATATGGTTGCTGGGAATTGAACTCTGGACCTTTGCAGAATAGGCAGTGCTCTTAGCCACTGAGCCTTCTCTATAGGCCCTATAAATGTCATTCTTACCTGATCATTTTCTTAATTTATGTAATTTACTATGTTTGAGTTAAAAACCTTCCTTTTTATTTAAACAAAAAGGAGGAAATGTTGTGGATATTTGTACACTGTGTGAAATGTGTTGCTGTGATTGGTGTAATAAAGAGCTGAATGGCCAATAGCTAGGCAGGAGAGGATGGGTGGGATTTCCGGGGAGGGAGAGGGAAAGGAGGAGGAATCTAGGCACTTGTGTAGTTGTCCCGACCTGCAGGACAGCAACATAGAGCAACAAGTCCAGGGAGGGGAATGGGAACAAGAGACATTAGAGAATGACCACAAGACTGGATTCTAATCAAGTGGAAATTTTATTTTTTCCAGGCTAGCTTATATAGTCAGTAGTATGGGGCAACGGGAAGGGGGAGAAGAGGCCAAGAGCCAGGTGTTAGTTCAAGCAGGATGTTAGAAAACTATAGATGGAGGAGATTGGCAGGGTAAAAACTTCATGGGAAAAAAAAAAGTTCATGGGTTGTGGGGAGAGGGAGTGTTACCTAGGTAAGTGGTGGGTCACAGGAGGGTTGCTTAGGTAAGTGGGCCTATGGTTGGAACAAAGGATTGACGTCTGGGTCATGTTGTTCCTTCTGGATGCTCATGCTTCTAGAAGCCATTTATAATCAAAAGACAGTTCTATAACCCTGTGGCTTTCCCAGTTTGGCCCAAAGGTTCATGCCAAGCTGTATGGCTCCCAACACACTTGTCTTTTCCTGTAGACCCTGAAGAAGTCAGACATATGGTACAGAGATAACCAAGCCATGTGGCAGAATGTAGATTAAAAGAGACAGGTTAATTTTAAGTTATAAGAGTGGGTGGGACAAGTCTAAGCTAATGGCCAAGCTTTCATAATTAATAAAAAGTTTCATGGTTATTACTTGTGGGCTGGCAGTTCTGATAAGTAACCATTCTGAAGGCAAAAGTTTTATCCCCTGTTTACTTAAAGATATTCAATTAATCTTATCCCACACATGGGTGTGGTCAGATCCAAGTGAGGAATTTAACTCTTTTAATACAAGTAAAGAAAACAGAGCTGTTGTTCAAGAAACTCCCCTTCTCTGCCTGTTTTGGACCCAGAACCAGCTCCATTTTAACACAGTGTATAGGTTTTGTACCTGTGGCAATTGATTTTAGCTTAAGCATTTCCCTGGTTGTAACAATTTCTCAGTATGCCCTATGAGGCCTTCTTTGTTATGTCATAACTCAGTCACCACTCATCACAGGAGAATGAGATTTGTAAAACCTGCCCAGGAACTCAGAGAATTTCTTCTGTACAAGTGCCATAGGATCCCATATACAGTAAACTCACTTTTTTTATTTAAGATTTTTATTTATTATGTGTATACAAGGTTCTGCCTGCATGTGTGCCTGTAGGCCAGAAGGACACCAGATCTTATTGCACAAGGTTGCGAGCTGCCATGTGGTTGCTTTTAATTGAATTCAGGACCTCTGGAAGATCAGGTAGTGCTCTTAACCACTGATGCTTCTCACTGCTCTTTTTTTTTTTTAAAGATTTTTTTTATTTGTTATGTGTACAGTGTTCTGCCTCCATTACAGAATATGTATATACTTCTATGCCTCCATTCCAGAAGGGAGCACAAAGATTTCATTACAGATGGTTGTGAGCCACCATGTGGTTGCTGGGAATTGAAATCAGGACCCCTGGAGAGCACTCAGTGTTCTTGACCTCTGAACCATCTCTCCAGCCCTCACTGCTCTTAACTTAAGGAAATACTCTTAGGGAACAGCTATGGTCTCAGGCCAACACCCGCCTTGGTCAACTTGCAAACTTAGGCACTGTCCTTGGAGACTGGGAAACCATCCTTGTTGTCTCCTCAGCTCTAGACACACCTTTTTCTTTGCAGAGTAAGTCTGTCTATAACGAAAGCAGCCCTGCCAATTTAAATATAACTTATACACAGGGTAAATATTTTTAAAACAGCAACAACAAATGTAAGTTACAAACTTTCTTACTCCAAGAGGGAAGAACCAGGGCACAATCAAAGCAAAACCAAAAATCCAAATGTGATTTACTTAGTGTGTGAGATCTGTGACTCACCATCTTCCGGGCTCCAGTACGTTTGGCTGGGCAGCTCCACTTACGCAGTTCTGCCTTCCACAGCACGGGCAACTTCTCATAGGCTTCTGTTCACACGTTGGACCACTGAGACACTTCCAGAAACCTTTTAAAATTTGTCCAGTGGTCTCATGGGGCTGTCTACTGTACTCTGAGGGCTGCAGGTGTGGTAAGCATACTTGCCTGCCAGGGGACACACCGTAATGGGGAAGGTGGCTTTTCCAGGACCAGGCTCATCCATTGTACTCAGGTTGTGCTAACCCCTGCGATTTCCACAAATTTGAGAAACTTGACTGCATAATTTCTGTTAGTAGAGGACTATGCTCACACTCTCCCCTGACATACATGAGGTTGCTAATGACAGACTTCAAAAATTGCATTTCCTTTCCTCTGCAACCCTAGAAGTTTTTGTTTTTTTGTTTTTTTGGTGTGTGTGTGTGTGTGTGTGTGTGTGTATTTTGTTTGTCTGCCTATTTTCGGGCATGTGTGCATGCGTGCATGCCTCTGTGTGTGTGTGTGTGTGTGTGTGTGTGTGTGTGTAGTTTAGTTAGTGGCTGTTTGTGACAGATAAACTGTGTGCTTATTCATTGTTTTAATTTCCTTTACTTCTGCCTATTGGTTTATTTACCCAACCTGGACCAGTGAAAAACTGCTAAGGGAGAAAAAAGTGGTGAGTGTATAGTGATAAGTTCTTCTCACAGAAATTACTTTCCATACTGATTACCAGACAGCAACAAGAACTGAACTCAGAAACATTGTGCAATGTTTGTTGTTTTTGTTTCTCCAGTGCTAGGTACTGAACACTTAACTTATTGAAGGTCCATCAGAAAACCTGTCATACTGTTTTTTTCCTCTCTGTCATGTGAGTAGTGGTCTATTTGTCAATTCTTCAGTTCTTAGAAATGACAAATTAATCCCTTGTAAGTGAGGAAGAAGATCTGTAAGATTTGAAGTCTGGAGTGTTTGTTTCTTAAAACCAGAGAGAGCACTTCCAGGCATGTTTGGTTAGAATGTCTTCCTTGGCTTCTGTGCTCAGTAAACCTGAGTCTAGTGTGCTGCCAGCACAGCACTTCTCAAAGGTGTTTTGAAATGCAATAGTTGAGTCACTGCAAACAAAAGAATGGGGAAACAGTTGCTAGGAAACAATTCCTCCCTCATTTTTTGTTTTCTCTCTAGACATATGCTGTTAACTTTTTGTTTTCTTTAAAATTCAACCAGCATCCTCCTAGATCTGCATTCTGGCTCTGGGAACAATCTTCTTTGTAGCCTTTTTTATTTTATTTTGTAAGGAAAATATGCTTAGGTGGCCACTGTAGGTTTCCTGTCCTGAGGCACTAATCCTTGCCTTTCTAGTACCCTGTCACTTTGTGGGGTTGGTGCTTGCCCAGTTCTTGCAGAGAGTCTGGTGAGTTTTGGGAAAGTTCAGCATGCTTGCAGATGTGCTATCCAGTCAGAAAGCAGTCACATTCCTGTAAAAAGATGCTATCACTTGTGTGCCTGTGTAAGTAGGGTAACTTTTGTTTTTCTGAACATATGTTTTTCGAGACAGTCTTCCTCTGTGTAGCTTTGGAGCCTTTCCTGGCACTTGCTTTGTAGACCAGGCTGGCCTCAAACTCACAGAGATTCGTCTGCCTCTGCCTCCCAAGTCCTGGGATTAATGGTGTTTGCCACCACTGCCTGGCATAGGTGCCAGGATGTCTAAATTCACATTTAATGTTTTATATACAATTTCATAAGCTGAATGACCTCGAACTAAAGATTTGCTTGGAATCTCTGTCCCCTCTACTTTATTTGTTCAGGCATCTTGGGGTTCACAAGTCTCTGTAGGCAGACTTTTCCATTCTTCCAGCCTCTTCCCAAATAATCACACAGAAACTTATTAATGAGAAATGCTCAGCTTATCTTAGGCCAGCTTCAATTAAGCCCATTTCTAATAATATATCTGCCGCTCCAAGGCTCAACTATGAACTTGCCTTGTTTCTTTCCAGTATGGCTTGAGACTCCCCAGACTCGGCCCTTCTCTCTTTGCCTTCTCTCTTTATTTTGTATTTTATGTATGAGTGCTCTATCTGCATTGTATGCTTGCATGCCAGAAAACATACATGGCTGTGAGTTGCCATGTACCTTCTGGGAATTGAACTCAGGTCCTCTGGAAGAGCAGCCAGTGCTCTTAACCACTGAGCCATTTCTCCAGCCACAGACTCTGCCCTTCTTTCCAGCATTTTCTCTGTCTTGAAATATCTTGCCTAGCTATCAGTCAATCAGCTTTTTATTAACAATGAGAGCAACACATTTTCACAATCCACAGAAGGATTATCCCATAGCATTTCCCCCTTTTGTCTATATAATAAGGAAGGTTTTAACTTAACATTGTAAAATTGTATACAACAGAACAGTTATCAAGTAAGAATTACAGCACCAATGTCCTCTCCATTTATTTGTCAAATTTAGAGAAAATATTCTATTATATATATTATCTTTGTGAGTTCAAAGTTTTACATCTAATTTACCTTTTGTCATAACTAAAGAAAGCTTTATTTCTAATTATTTTGTCTTTAACTCCCTCAAAGGCCCCAAAAGAGTGTAATGTTACCTAAAGACAGGGACATCTGACAGCCTGTGCATTCACACAGTTTTTCTGTAATATTGGGGCACTCAACTCTGGCCTACAGGCCTAGTATATCTGATAGATATTTCTGAGAATCGGGGAGTATTGAAGGACTGTCCTACCTTGTCTTGGCAAAGGTTGGCAGTCACATTTTTGTGTCATGCTTCTCTAGTTTGGACAATATACTGTCAGCAATCGAGGAAAAGGCAATTTCTTTGCCCAAATGCCTAGCATTCGCCAGAAAGAATGCAAACTCCACAGGGACTTTCTTTGATGCCCCTCGTCTTCTTTTGAAGTCAATGCATGCTGTCAAGAGCAGACATGACTCACTGTCAAATAGGCCTTATGTTATTAAAGTATTTTGAATTCCATATATTGTAGGTCTTTGAAGTATTTGAAGACAATCTATCTATCCAAATGTATCTGTTTAACCTTGAAGATATACCTAATATGACTACAGTTTCATTATTACAGATGACTATTACCTGTATTTATTAATTATACATTACATTTTAAAATGGGCTTTGTTATCATGACCTGAAAACAAAAGTAGAAACAAGCCAGGTATGGGTAGTGCACCAGATACTCAGAAGGCAGAGAGTCAGGCTGATCTCAGTTAGTTTGTGGACAACCTGAGTTTCCTACCGAGTGAGTTTCAGGACTGCCAACGCTGTTATACAGGGAACCCCTGTCTCCAAAAAACGAAAAAAAAAGTAGAAAAATATTTGCTATGTAACAAATTAACTTTAAATTTGTATCAATAAATCAATATCTATACCAAAGTAAATATTCTGAGATTAATAGTTTTTTTTGGATTAAAGTAGATTCAATAATCTATCCTTTCATTTCATCATTTCTATATCATATCCCCCTTTGTTCATTTAAGAAGAGATCTTTAAATTTAACTATTTTGTTTAGTTTTTTTTTTCTGACTATGACCAAGAACAACTTGTAACCAAGCTCTTAAAGAATGACATCCATAAAACATTGAATCATGAAAACTGACCCATACACCGTATCTTGAGAATGTGGTTCTTGTTTTCTTGACAATGATGGGAGAAGTCCTTCTGTGTATATGTTTCTCTTCTTGGTTGATAAATAAAACATTGTTGGCTGATGAGGCAGGAAGATAGATGGGATTAGGAGAAGAGAATTCTGGGAAAGGTAGGCAGACAGAGCCCTCCACGGGGTCCACATTTAGGCCCCAAAAGGAGCAACACATCCTGACTCTTCTACAGTAAAATAAGACCACATGGAAATACTTACATTAAGAGAAATGGGTTGGTGGGCCTTGGTGGCACATGCCTTTGATGCCAGCACTCGGGAGGCAGAGGCAGGCGGATCTCTGTGAGTTCGAGGCCAGCCTGGTCTCCAGAGCAAGTGCCAGGAAAGGCTCCAAACCTACACAGAGAAACCCTGTCTCGAAAAACCAGATAGATAGATAGATAGATAGATAGATAGATAGATAGATAGAGACTGAGATGGATTAATAATTAAGAGAGAGCTAGGCAATTCGAAGCCGTAGCCACAGGTCAACAGATTTATAATTAATGTAAGTCTTGGTGTGCTTATTTGGGGCTGAGAAGGGTGGTGGGAACAGGCTGGAAAAAGAAACATCCAGCAACAGTCTCTGTGTTAAATACCTCTCATGAATCTTGGGAGTAAAGGCCTGAGCTACATTCACTCTCAGTTAACCCAGGGTAGTCTTGGACTCAGAGATCCATCTGCCTTTCTCCTGAGTCCTGGGATTAAAGGCACACACACTCCTCTGTGCCTGGCTTCTATGGCCTGTGGCCGACCCTTTGCTTTCTGAATCCTGAGGCAAGCTTTAATAAATCTTAAATAGCATTATCACCAAAAAAGGGGCTCTCCTCCATCAGAGACTTATTCATCTGGTGGGTTGACATCTGAATTATCAACTGTCATCTGTTGCATTTATTTATATCAACGCCTGTAACAGCTCCTGACACTTGCCAGCAACCCCTTACTGGTCTACAAACACATTTACATAGTTTAAACACATCTATTGATTTTAAAATGGAAGCAAGGGCAACTGATGAAAGAAACATGTACTTTAATTAACCAGAAATTTCATGTATTTGTTAAAGGATATCGAATATATGTTTTCCTGGCTAGCGTGGAGGTCACTATGTAAACCAGGCTGGCCTCAAACTCACACAAATTCACTGGCCTCTTCTTCCCAAGTCCAGAAGTTAGTAACTTATCCACCTGATGGAAAAAATAGTTCACCGAATTTTAGATTGAAGAATAAAGGGAAAGTCACATCAGGGACAAAGTCACATAGCAATTTGGCTGTTTTGTTTTTTTTTTACAGGAGGACTTGTTTGCCCTTTGAGACAGGTCTCACTTTGTTCCCCTGGCTAGCCTGGGTACACTTTACAGAACAGGTTGGCCTCAGACTCACACAAATCCACTTGTCTCTGCTTCTGTGTGCTGGGATTAAAGGTGGGCACCACCATGCTGGCTGTTGTTATTTTTGTTTTATGTGTGCAGGTGTTTTGCTTGCCTGAAGGTCTATAGTGTGTCCCGTGCATGCCTAGTGCCTGCAGAGGCCAGAACAGGGTTCTGGATTTCTGGAAGTGGAGTCAGGGTCTTTTGTGAGTGTGGACAGTGGGGAATGAAGCTGGGCCAAATGCAGAGGCAGCAATGCTCCTAACCCCTGGTCCACCTCTCCAGCTCCCATACAGGAGTTTTTACTTTTCCTTTTAGC